TTTCTATTTTCTCCTATTGTCGTGGTAACCATTACATTCGAAGTGATAACATGGCAACATTAATGTCGCTCAAGCAGCAGGAGGTTAAGTACTTAAATTTCCTCCAGCTTTGCACTTGATACATCTTGATCACTAATAACCTCCATATGCCACACCATTACTAATATATATTGGGAAATTCCTTGTATAATTTTGGTACAATTTAAAACAATTAAATTATCACAACGTACCTTCTCTGACTTTTGTGACATTTCCTTATGATACTTGTGGGGAATATGTTTAATACAAATATCCTTAAGGGGTCCAAATGCATCAAAGTAATCGGCCAGTATGCGAGATACAAGCACCACGTAGTTGTCCCTCTGTTGCTGATGGTCTGTGATACTTGGAATGAACCTCAAATTTGGAACTTTTAGCAATCAGCCTTTGGCCCATCCGCTTCAAGTTCACCATCAGATATACGGTTAATCACCATCTTGTGGTTAACCCAGTGAAAGTCCCTGTTTTGTGCAGATAATGTCATGTTCTTTCTTTTACACTGAATGTCAATGTTGTCAAATGCAATGACAAATCCAGGGTGGAATGACTTCTTTAGGTCCCCAATTTCATTCTTTATAATCTCAGGATACTTTCAGAACTTGTATCGCATGTTGCGTTAGCGTCATTTATTGGATTTAAGAACTTCCCAGGTACGAACCTTTGCTTGCATAGTTTTGTTTCCATGTGTTATTGTTTCCTTAGCTTTCTTCAGTTTAATGTCATGGTCCTCGCCAAGTTCTTCAAGTTTGGCCAGTATTGCTCTGTTTGAACAAGTCAGCTTTAACTTTGCGAGTCTTGCTATGTTTGCCTTTATATAATTTATAAATGAAACATAAAAAAATACAACTTGATTTGCAAGAAGATACTGTATTTCACGAGTTAGAATAGGTATATTCTATACTATAGAGTCCGTTGGACAAGTTTATAAATTATCCTCTTCTGATCTGTATTCTAAATGCTCAATTGAACCATTTTGGACCGGACATCAGAATTTTATTATTAATGGATCTTTTCCGGAACGACCCAATAACCCGTTGAGTCACATTGCACCCTGATGCACCCTACTTTATTATTTTACTCTGTCTCTAACGCCAGACGATTTTACTCCTCAAGGGGAGAACGCTGGCGCTTAAAGGTGCCCTACAGTTCGATCTGCGCATGTGCACAAAGAAGCCCACTTTTTATGATACAAACAGTTCAACTATGTTTTGGGTTCTTGCAATGCCTGACTGTTGTTTCTTGATCATTTATTATATTCTATAAGCTTGAAAATATAAATAGTTGTCGAATAAAGCTCAATATTTTGGACACAAAAATGTAAACAAAGGCTTTGTTTACGTACGGACTGTAGGGCACCTTTAACTTAATGGGTTAACATTAACTGTGATAAGATAAATATGGAAACTTCTTTTTTTTATTCCTGCTTTGTGTAATGTGTATATTAATATTTATAGGGCGTTTATTTGCGTCAGTTGGGCCGTTGCACTGTACAGATCACATTTTTTAAGAGTCATGTAATTTGCCCAGATATATATTTCAGAAAATTAATCTATGTTATAAATAGAATGCACATTAAACAAAATGTGTAAACCAATGACTATTTATTTGTCTTATTTATGCTTCGATACCAATATTGTAACAAACAACCCAATTCATGATCATATTAAAAACGAGAAATGCATCGAAACTTCACAAAGGTTATTATAAAAGGACAAATTATGTTAAACACACTACTGTAGCTCTCAAATATAAAATGCGTAATTGATATATTAAATTCGTTAGAAACAAAACTTGATGAAATAAACCCCTATAACATCTTCAAAAAGCAAATTAAACGGCATTTCTGGTATTAAAAATACACAATTGTCAATTGCTAGCAGCTATATATGACATGCGATTGATATTAAAATATACTTTTGTATATTGTAGCAAATGCATCTAAAAATTTAAATGCATCTAGAACATTTAGTATAATATATTCACATTCCACATCCGCACATTCCTAATATCCTTGTACTGTGAATATCCTTCTTAACTTGCATAAATATTGTGTTGATTAAATGTAAAATAATTTATTATGTGATCCATCACGTCAAATGAACAGTAATTACTAAGAGGCCTAAATAAAAATCATATATTTTATAAGTATAAGGTATACAGCCCATGCAAAAAACATTTAAATTTAATAAATTTAATATATATTTTAAGTAGGTTTTTTATACACATGGGAACTGAATTCATATATAAATTTGTAAACAATTATTTTGAAATCGACAAGTTGTCAATTTCAAATTACTGCATACAAATTAACACGAAATTAAATATTAAACATTTGCTGCTTAAAAATAGCAACGTTTGACGTGAATTTTTAAAAGCGATGCGATACGCATAAAACCCGAACACTTTTGAAACCATAAAAGTCAAAGAACTCATAAAACCCGCGAGCACTTTTGCTTTACAGCATATTTTTTTGTAAAACCTAAGATGAAAACTAAAATTAAATCAATATATATTTAAGATGTATTAAGACACTAACCTCAGTCGAGCGAGATTTGAGAAGGATACCCAACACATAGGCGGTCGCGCTCATCTCACCATTTCTTTGTTTGAGTAGTACAGAACCAGAAACGGCGACACTTGGAAGCCAAGACTTATTTTTTGTAGTCTTTGTAATGGAGGAAGCAACGAGAAATAAATAAAAGATAGGTGCCCATCACATAACTGCTCCAGACTGAATTTCATCAGGTCATCCTTTCCAGTTTTTCTTAACATTGATGGTTTCTTTCTAGAACACAAATCGCTAACTTCTTTTGAAACGATGCCAAGGACTTTCTGTATAACTACTTTGCGGACGGGGTCGCATTTCATAACTGCCGTAGCAACTCTCGATGGAGGTCCATATAGTAACGCTTTCCCCAGTGTATCGTATGTATCATCTAAAGTTTTACTCACAGTTCTAGAGGGATAGTTGACGGTTATCTTCACACATCCTAAACTGGCTGATTTTGCGGTAGGAACAACGGGAGAAGAACTAGTGAGAGGTGCAGGCAAGGAGGTATAGGAACGGGATATATAGGCGTAGCAGCATCCGGTAAACACTGGGTCGATGGATTAATACTTAGAGGTAAAGACTGTTCTATATCTTGATAGGTTTCGCCAAGAGAAGTGACACAAGCTACTAAATTAGCGTTACCTTGTCCTGTATCTGGAAACTGGATCGATTTAGAGACTTTGCAGCGAGGTTGTCGAGGTTGTTGTACACGCATACATTCGTCCTGAGTCGCGTCTTCTTGCCGTTTATCTTCTGGGCGCAGTAGTCGCTTGGTCCTCACTGGCACAAATTAATCGTTCCCAAATTTCCTCTTTAATCTTGTCTAACTTATCAAGTGCACCTTTCAGCCTCAACAGCCGTTTATAACATATGTTTTTGCAAACGAATAAATCGTTACTCTCTGAATAATTGTTCACATCAACATTTACTGATATTTTTATCAGATTAGCGATATCAAGGGCACTTTTCCCGAAAACAAATAATCTATTATTATTTGTCTTGTTTTCTGAACAAAGGAAACACTTTTCGCCAACGTCGCTCACTTTCTTTGGAGTCTCGTTCATGTTGAATAACTAGTCGATTATTTCAAGCGTGCGTGTGATACAATTTAATTTTAACAGTAGTAAACATCGAGATATATATAGCAATGAACAATTAGTCACTACTGAATTTGGCGGGAAACCTACGTCATGCCGTTTCCTGATTTCAAGTTTAAACAATCGGAATGGAATGTGTTGCTGCAGTAAGCAGTGTGTTAGTGCTGAAAAAACCTCGGACCCGCGAACAGGCTACGTAGGAGACTAAGTAGATGCTTAATTAAGCCAATATATACCTGGTAACCCATTAGACATGGCTACCCTAAGGGCATCCCCTATTTGACCTAACACTATCTAGATTATTCTTGCTGTCTCAATGCCAATTAAATCTAAAACATATTAAATAAATCTGATTTTATCAATTCCTATTTTTTCAGCTTTTGTTCTGGATGATCAGTCTATAGAAAGACAGCTGCTATGCATAATGCAGTACACAGTACAGGACAAATGCTGTGGGGCTTGAACTAAAAGCAAACCAGCTGAGTGAGACTTGACATTAACAATTAATGACCTTTAGGTACTCATTTTTATTTCTGGCCATGTATATAAATATAATATAATATTAGGAAAGTTCAAATAAGTGTAGGTTATGGTAAGTGTAATTACTCTGCCCCATGCGGGGCCGGTTGTTCAATGCTGGACTAGCGCCAACCCTGGGTTAAAATTTAGCCTGCTGTTTTAGTTTGTGTATTTCTACACGTCTGTTTATTTCAAAACTTCAGAGAAGACAAGATCTCTGAAGAAATATTTCCAAATTTTAATAAGTCAGGAAGTTTGCTTTGAAAATTAGGTTAACCTAGGATTAAGCTAATCAACCTTGAACAACTGGCCCTGGAGAAAAATTGATTGCACAGTCTTAAATTTATCTATATGTGTAACCTATAATTACATATTTACTAATAAATACATTTAATATTCTGATCTAGTATTTCTTCGCATTAAATTATTACGGCTTCAAGTGAACATGACAGAGGTACAGTTGCAGCAACGTGATGTTGCAGAAGAGGAAATAGTTTTATGCAAGAGATAAATCTCGCTTTGTGGCAGTTATGTTACATATCTGTTTGGTAGATAATACACAGATATATAGATAGATAGATAGATGGTTTATTACATATAAACATTGCAGCCAATAGGTTGAATTACGTTTATATTTACAAGTTAAGAAACTAAGAAGTATTAAAATACAAAACAACTAAATGTCTCTAAACGGATCTAAGAATGTTCTAATAATTTTATGATGAATAATTTAATGCATTATGTATAATAAAGCTATTTTTAAAACGGTTAGTCTGAAATGCAACGTTAAATCTATGACTGGATCTAAGAGTCATACGGAACAGTTTCATTGCGTCTTCAAGGCGTCTTCATAATTTTATCTGTAGGGAAACTATACTGTGACATAACTGTGACAGATATGTTATGGGGCCAAATTCCTATATACTTTCGTACAGTACATATATTTTGCAGATATTTTACAGAACTGTGACATATATCTGCCACATATATCTGTCAGTTTGGTAAGGGATGGCTCTAAAAATAAAAGCACACATAGTTTAAAAATAGCCATTTTATAGTTATTTTGAACAAGGTTCGCCACAACTTTCTATGAATAGGAATTAAATAGCTATTCAAGATCTATTTATTTTGCTATTTAATAACTATTTTAACAATGGCTCCAAAGAAGAGAAGCAAACATAGTTTAAAAATAGCTATTTAAAACTATTTTAACTGACTCGTTTGTCATCAATAAGAATTAAATAGCTATTTAAAAGCTATTTTATAGTGAGGTTCCGTCAATTACTCTTTCAAATAGGATTTGAATACCTATTTCAAAGCTATTTTTTTGAAAAATATAAATAATATATATAGGTATTGTATATATATAGGAAAAATATAAATAATATATAATAAAATATAGGTATTTTAAATAGAGTGTAAACAGTCATATACTATTTTATGGAATCTGATAAATAGTAATAAAATAGTCATATTTTTGAAAAAATAGGGCTATATAAATTGAGAAAAAATAGGTCTAACACGTTCCAGAGCAAAGTGAAATATTCTATTTAAGAAAATTCATGCCAAATTTGACCAAAATTCTAAAAATTGTCAACAAATGAACAAAATTCGTTTCGTTAATGGTAAAAAGCCAAATTTAGACAATAATTTGCAACAAAAAATGAAGTGTTGCAAGATTCGATATAAATTGGTCGTTTTAGCATCATCCTGACATTTATGACAAAATAGTTTACACTAATTACGGTCACCTAAAGCATTGACAAAAAATCTATATTTTGGCACTGCAATTGCAGCGCCAACTCGAAAGCATGGACATAAAATCTACAACATATTGGCACTGCAATTGCAGCGCCAACTCAAGGCATTTAGATATAATCTATAACTTGTTGGCACTGCAATTGCAGCGCCAACTAAAAAGTAAAGGCATTGACATATGATCTAGTATGGAACGCCATGTGTGCAAAAATTATTTAACGTTAATTATATCATATCATGACTAAAACTGTCATTATATATAAATAATTGATAAACAAACAGACATTATATCAAATCATGACTTATTCGTTTTTGTCATTATTTGATATAATGTTATCAACATTAAGCATTATATCATATCATGAACTTTCGAAAAGTCATGATATGATATCATGACATTTCGACAGATCATTATATCATATCATGACTTTTCGACAAAATCATTATATCATATCATAAGCATTTGTGTAAGTCCTGATTTGATATAATGCTAATGCGTTGCACTATGATATCAAATAATGACTTTTCAGTTGATTCATGATATGATATCATGTAAAAGAACTTTTTCATTATATCAAATAATGAAACAGCGCCGAAAAGTCATTATTTGATATAATGCAATAGCGTAGTGCGCCATCTGTCCAAAAATTAAAACTGTCCAAAAATCAATTAACCTTATAATAACTCAAACGTCCGGTAACTTAAAACCTCCGGTTCATGGGCCGAAGGCTACAAACAAATCTCTTCGATTACGATCGATCTTTCTCCGTTTTGCGCTTTCAGCAGCTAAGAACCCTGCATTTTTTTTAACTTAAAAAGGCTGGATTATGGCGAATGATGAACGTTGCTGGGAAGACGCAATAACTAGAGCCGTGCAAGGAGCAGTTTGGTCCGTATTAACAGACAGAGGGCCATTGCATTTAATATCCACCCCCCTCCCCCCCCCCTCTATGGATGAGGTCAGTAAGATGTTAACCTCTAAGAAAAAAAGATCAAAGTGCCGACACAAAACCCTCTTCAGAAATTTGTAAATTTTCCGCTTACGCCTCAGAAAAATCGCAGACATCAAAAGATGCCGACAGGCTTAACCTCTCAGAAACGACTATTGGGTCACCGCTGGACATTAAAAGGGAATGCCCCCAGAGGACCGGACCAATTCTCGTCGCCGGTACACAGTAAAAACAAATTGGTTAAAATGACCAAAAAAAATTGGTCGTTTGAATGCGTCTGAGACAACCAGTTTAAATTGGTCGTTTTAACCAAAAAAGTAATTGGTCAAATTGACCAATTATTTAATTGGTCAAATTGACCAATTATTTATTGGTCAAAACAACCGGCAATAATTGGTTGTTTTGACCAATAAATAAATGGTCAATTTGACCAATTAATTATTTGGTTAAAAAGACCAATTTAAACTGGTTGTCTCAGACGCATTCAAACGACCAATTTTTTTTGGTCATTTTAACCAATTTCAAATGACCAAATTAAAATTGGTTAAACATTTAAATTGGTTAAAATGATCAAAATTGCATTCCATTTCGCCATTAAACCATTCAAAACGTGCTTGAAAAACAATAATTTATTAACAAATAAATATTAAGATTAAAATACAAAATCAATAAACAGTATATGCAATATAATAACTTATAGGGATGAAACGTCACACGAAACCTCTGTGACTGTAAATATTTCTACAATATTTACTCGTCGAAGGCTATCAAGTCATATAGCCAAAACTTGTGAAAATAAATATTTACATGCATGCATGCATGCAGTCAGAGAACCATTTCATATTTCACAGCGGACTCGGTTTGACCGTAAATTCTAGAGCCAAAGGGGCGGGATTACAGTTGGATTTAGAGAAATGTGGCGGATAACCAAGAAAGGCCGTTGTTTTCAAAACGGAAAGCCCATTTCTGCAAACAGAGATGTAATATTGTAGACGAAATCAAATTTTAGATTTTGTTGATGTAGCGATGAACTATATTTGTAATGTGCAAGTCAGGAGAAGCAAATGCGAAGGCCTTTATCGTGATATTTTTTCTCCTTCTCTAACAATCCTTTTATTTGAAAGTTGAAGTAAGACGAGGAGAAATTAACTTCCGTCATGTCGTCAACTTCGGTTGTAAGACGTGTATGTTTCGAATCCATCGTAAGAGAAACTCATTAGATTTTCTTCTATCATAAAAACGAGCGTTGCTCTCTTTGCAGCATAATAGTCGTAAATAATTAACTTTCACTATCGACATAGTCATCGACAACTTTATTCAGCAAAAACAACAATGGCAACGAAGTGCATGGCACGCATTAAACGGCTTCTATCTATTGCGCGCCAACTGTAATTCCGCCCCTTAGAAATCTTGTCATTGTCACAGCCCAACGTGCTTTGCGAACGCATGTGCTAGATCATGTTGTTTTATTTGGAGAAGATGGGTTGATCTTTGTGATTGATAATTTTGAAGGATGATATGGAAGTTGATTTGTCAAATAAAAGGATTGTTATAAAAGGAGAAAATATAACGACAAATTAGGACTTCGCATTTGATTCTCCTGGCTTGCACATTACAAGTAGTTCATCGTTATACAGTGGGGGTCAAAAGCAGTGGCGTACTACGCAGACC